ATACAACTTATACTCAAATGTAAGGACAATCCTAGGATATGCTGTGCAGTATATGTAACATTTGCACTTAATAAGGAAGCATAGTTCTACTGGTTAAATCAATTTGTATCCCAGACATTATTTTATGTTTCAATCAGTAGTCTCCCTCTCCCCCATTTTTCCTTTTCTACTATAAATAAAACAAAATTAAAATAAACAATTCTGTATCTGAGAACTTCCCAGTAATGATTTTACTGATATGAAAGATTTCGGATTCAATGGATGGGGATTTTTTTTCTGATAATAGTTGTGTGAAGTTTGCTTTCCAATGCTCCACCTGAAAAGATAAGTAGCTACCAACTAGTTCTGTGTCAGCTCCTCACAGTGCAAGAAGTCCTAAAAGATATCCCAAATTCTGGCACATCAAGTCTGAAAACATTGTCACTCATCTCTCACCCATCACCTTGTCTAGATAAGTCTAGGTAAGTCTATATATATAAAAATAGATGAGTCTATATAGATAAGTCTAGATAAGTCTATATATAAAAACTATGAGCTCTTCCTGCAAACCATGTTTGAGATTTATCAGAAGCTGAGAGGAAGGACAGGATCTTTGGGCAGGTGTTCACCTCAAGCAGCCTGCGCTGTAACCATAGGAAAACAGTTTTTCTTGGGCATTTTTTGGCAAGGAGAATGTTCTTGTTTCACCCTGGAAGTATTCTTGCTAGAAGATTTAGTATAACAAATACCAACAAAACTCTAGCACTGTTTTTAGGAACCCCTGAGCTGCAACATGTCTTTCCCCCTTAACTTCACTGAATGTCAACTAAATATGGTACAGTAGACAAAAATTTTCTATGCTAGAAAAAGGACAGATGTAACTTTGCAATGTCAACCTCAACAGCAAGGATAAAAAAATTTCATAACCTCCTGGAGCTGAGATTAACAAGTCCTAAGATTTCCCACTCCTTACTTTTTTGTTTATCCACAAAAATACAATTCTGTGCAATTGGTAAGCTCTTGAGCTGTCAATCAAACCCTGCATTTCATATCAGAGAAAGAGTCTTCCAACAGCAAATCAATTAACTAATGCTAATAGGTGAGGATAATGAAATATTAAGTGTTGTTTCAATTTTGTATGTATTTTTACCTTGAATTTCTGTATTGTATTTTCTAAAATAATGCTGGAATGGATTCATTTCTGCAAGAGTCCTCTATGATGCCTCAGCTTCCATCTGTGTATCCTACAGAACACACAGAAAACATCCTACAGATACCAGCTGTAGAAGAACTTCTCCCACATTCAGAAGCTAAGCTTTATCACTCTAGGATATTAAAAATACATTTTTCTCAATTCTGCCATAATCGTGGATAAACACTGTTCTCTCTCTCAGATATATATATGCACATCATCTAGTGCTGAGCTCGGCGTTTTGAAGTTCTAGTAAGCCGATGCTTTGAGTTCAGGACGCAGCAAGGTGTGTTAGCAGGGTCATGAATCATATGAATGTTTATTATCTACCTCTTGTACTGGGAATAAACCCTAGGTTTTCTTATGTTTTCCTGTAAAATATTTTGTGTTCTGAGAACAAGCCTACAGAACTTTGCAGCATGAAAGGATAGATGACCAAGTAGCCAGCTGTCAACTGTGGCTGTTAACACTGCCATACATAAGGGACTTCAGGAGTAACTTAAGAAGACCCTGCTAGGAGGACAATTTACTTGCCAAATTAGAAATTGTGAACCATAAAAATGCCTTTGAACCATACCAATGCTTACAGTAAACCCCAGCAAATTCTCTTTTATGGTGCAGTTGGACGTGCAATGTCAAGGGGATAGCTGCCTGCTCTGAAATGTCCTCCTTACTCTGTATGAGCCATCTCTTTGGGCTGATTCACTGTGATCATACTATAATCTTGTGTCACAGTGAGATCAACTTGCAACTGCCCAAACGTTAAATAAAGTACCAAAGTTTGCAACCAGGGACAAGCTCTTTGGGAAGAAAATGTAACTTAAATTCTGCTCTGACTTGTCCTCTGAGGGACCAACTCATTGCATATATAAAGGTCCAAGAGATATTTACTGGTGTCCTTGCTTAGTAAGAGATGCGACCACTCTCTAACATGACAAGGCAGCCATTGCACAGCAAAGCAATGACTGTGCAATTACTAGAAAGACTCACAGTTTTATAGTAACTAAAACTGAAAGTGCTTTGGGATTCCCAGATAGAAGACAATAGCCCAGTGAAAAATGATCATTGTTACTAGTATTTACTTACCTGGACGTAAATTTCGTGTGTACATATAAGAGATGCCATCTCTACCATGGCTGGGGTCTTCCCTGTAACAGACCTATATGGTAAAAAATGAAATTTGGCATGTTATCCAAGGTGGCCAGAGAACCTCCACTTGTTTTGCCCCTTCCCTGTCTGTACTGCTTCAGACAGTAGTGCAAGGTGGCAATACCCAAATGCGTTTTAAATCAGTAAATTCATGCTGTAAAATATCAGCAGTCCAGCTTGAGCTCAGCAGCATAACGAATTTTGGTGCTGCAGGAATGAGAGCAGGATATATCTGCCATAAGCCCTTCACAGAGAGTTGGGAGGACTGGGAAAGCTGGAGGACAAACCTGCTGTGGGAGGCCCCAAGCGCCACCTCCCAGGTTCCTCTGCCCCTTCCTCAGCACGAGCAGCCACTAAGCAGCTCTTATGGGCTCTGGCATAGGCAAGTTGATGAGTTGCGAGAGCTTGGCTACCATTAGGTAGGATTTAATAAAAGCAGGCCAAAGAAAGAAGTTGCAGCTAACCATGACAATAAGAGTACTAAAACTTTGGAGGAAAAAAGGAGCCAGCTGTAGCGTAAGAGCAGTTGTTAAGACCTCAAGGCAGAGGAGTTGTAGTCAACCGTGAAATGAGAACTGTTGGAGTGTGGTGGAAAGGAGAGGTATGTCATAAAATAAAAGTTACTGTTGTAATCAGAAGTAGCCAAAAAGAGAATAAAGAAAGAAAAAGAATACAGGCTGATTAGTCTGGGCCAAATACCTGGCATCATACACAATACTAAGGTATAACTGTAACTGCATAAATAAAGGCAAGAGGGAAGATAAGGACACCTTGGAGTGTATTGTTTTGGTCCTCTCTGATATAAGACTGTCCCAAACCCCATCTAGGGTGTCTATAGGGGCCTTCTCTCTCTTATGTAGTGCTCTCAGGTGCTGTGGCTCCTTTCTGGGCACAGGCAAGTAGAGTCTGACCTTTACTTTGCATGATGATTCTTTTCCATAAGGAAAGGAGGGATGACAGTTCATATCCAGACACATTCCAACACTGTCAGGAAACGGCCAGGAGTTGAGAAGTAGCTCCAGGTAGCCTAGTTTAGACAAAATCTATATATTATGAGGAACGGAATTCTGTATTTTCCATTTGCCCCACTGATGGATACTAAATAGAAATCTTAATCAACTTAAGTAATGGGAATTATATTACACAGCAATTGTGAAGATTAAGAACATTGTAGAATGCCTTGGAATTCTAAATGAATTGCTGTTTTTTCTTAATGCTTTTAGGATTATTCTTAAAACTAATCAAATTCCACATCCTACATGTTACCTGTGTACCAACTGATGAAAAAAAGGCTACAGCTGTTTATCTGCCATACAGTAATTGATCAGCATTAGTTTTATAATGCTTTAAGTACAGTAGTTTCTTCACAAAAGATAAAAGTAATACTTCAGGGAGCTTTTAGTGGAGACACATTAGAAGATGATAAATATAATTACAAATAGTGCAGAAAAATGATGAAGTCAAAGATGGTCAGAATAGTTCTACTCAGGTATGTAGACAGGACAATGTAATCAACATTTTAAAAATTATATAAAAACAGGGAAAAGAGAGATGCAGAATTGCAAGCAGCAGCATCTGTTACACTGTCATTGAGATGCAATGAGAGGCAGACTTTCCAAATGGACCCGTATTACAGGAGCCAGGGACGTGCACCTTTTGGAGACAGCCTTGAAAACACAGACAGTAATTACAAATTATCTTAATATAACATTTTGCTCAGTACTTCAGACATAAGAAAGCAATTGGCCTGAGCAGTCCCAGGCTTTTTTTCAGAAAGGGAGCATGTCAGTACCTCAGCACAAGCACAGCAGTATGAGCTCTTGCCAGCAGAGTGCAACAAATTTCATTTGGGTAGCACAAAAGGAGCCCTCTGTTCTGTCAGCAGAGTGTGTTTTATTTCCAAGGCTGATGACTGTGCTGATGAAGCAACATCTGAAGAGAAAATGGAGATTGGGGTGATACAGTTCAGTTGAGCATGCACCAGTTCTCCCCAGTGTGATTTGAGTGGGATTCCTCTGACTCACACCAGTAAATGCAGAAGGTCTAGGACCTGCAAGGCAGTGGATGATCTGATCAGACTGAAGATGAAGTACCTGATTACGATCTCAGAGATACCTGTGCAAATCAGCAGCAGCTCTAGCAAAGTCAATAGCTGCAAACTAGTGCACAAGTAAAGATACCAAGGTTTCTGCTTCTGTGCTTATTAAAATTATGGATATTATTTCTGCAGAGTTGTATGCTCTCTGGAGCGACTCACTAGCATATTTTTAGCTCACTATATTTGTTCAGACAGTATATTCAGCCATATTTGTAAAATGTACAAGCTATATTCTGCCACATTTGCTTCTTATGATTTAGTATGGAGAATCAATACATTTGATCTTCTAGTTATGTCATGTCAGCAAAGCTCTTTTAAGAGACATAAACATAAGGTCTACTCAGATATTACAACAATCAGCAATGTAAAATGCAAGAGAGAGATGTTTTAGAACTGCTCATTCCTCAGTTTATACTCAATTTGCTGAAGGTAGTCAACTTTATTCATAGATGAATTATTTTAGTGCCTGAGCAGAGTCAAAACTTTTTTGAGATCTGATAGTTTGAACATGACAGAAGTAGATCCTTTCACAGTCATAAATACTCATAAACACTAACTAACTATGTTTTAATGTTTTGGCAGAGATAAAGATTGCCTAAAAATATGGGAATCATTAAAGCAGGCGTTCATTTACAAGAATCCCTGTAATATTACACCAGAAGATTATCAGCCTTTAATGGAGTTAGCAAGTCATCCCATACCCTGTAACAAGGTAATGGCCATAACACGTGGCGGGCTGTATAAGTAGGGTTGTTGTGGGACAACACGTCTGTACTTCGACTAGAATGAAGGATCTTTTCCATAATAACTGAGTATCTCTAAGGTGACAAGGCAGGTATTTTGCCCCCGGGCTTGCGGCCACTGTCCTGCTGTTACCACCTTTGGAACTGAGCGAACCTGTTCCTTATCTATTGCCCAGAAACATCCTTGCTCGGGGCTTTGCTTCAAAGGGCAGTTCTGGGATCATCCAAGTTATGGAGACGTCCCTGCTCCCTAAGCACACAGTTTAGAAATACATGAGCGTGCAGTTAGAAGGGCATTGCTTCCGAAAAGCTGCTCTTCCATGCACAGTTGAAAAGCACCCCATAAATTAGGAGTATATAGACTGCGAGAGCTAATTAGAACTTTTCTTTCAAAATGCACTGCAGACCAAACAGGCTGATTTCCACAAAAAAATAGCTATCTGAAAGTTTTGGGAAATGGGAACTGGATTGGGCTACAGGAATAGAAACAGAGCCACTAATATAAACTTGCAGCATCTCACTAAAAATAAATAAATAAACAAACTATTAACTCCTTCCTTATCATGAGTTTTTTTAATGGAAGATTTCCTGACCAGCTCTAGTACCGGTATCACTTATTCCACATTGTACCTTCTTTCACAGTCACTGTTTTGGAGCAAGACGAATGATCTCGTTCATCGTTATACAAAGTCCAATCACAATTTCCTTACCTTGGAGGATACCTTGTTGGGTTATATGGCTGACAGGGTTTCATGGTGTGGAGATCCGTCTGCCCCAGGTAATAACACCTATTTTTTACATTGCAAATATCAACATCAGTATTCCAGATTATTCTTGTGTATATCTAGACTAACCACAGTCTATCTTAAAATAATATGTTAACAGTAACATCTAGCCTGCTTTGTCTAGATAACTCAGTACCTTCCAGTGATTTGTCCTATGGGACGAACTGAATTAAAGAATATCATTCAGGAACATCCCAAGTTTTGTTCCCTCAAAGTGCCTGGAACAGCACGTAGGTGCCTTGGGATAATTGCTACCCATGTGACTTCTGGATTGGTGCTCGAGGTTCAATAATTTCTAAACTGGAACTGTTGAAAATGTTGGGCAAATTTTGGTTTTTCAACGTGATCAGACATTTGCCCAACCTGTTTTTCACATTTCAAACTATGTTTCCCATACTCAGTTTACTGGAGATGATTTGCATACAGGTCCTGCAATTGTCTTCCTGCAACATCTATGACTTAACAGGAAGTCCTCCAAATACATTCAAAATAACTTCTCTCTTACAATTCCTTCCTCATGTGGAGCTTTGATGTGCTTTGATAGGATGCATATCTTCTTGCCATTTTTAAGTATCTCTCAAAGTCACATTAGCATGTTACCAACATTCCTTCTAAACTTAATTATTCTATTAATTTATTTCTTTTCAGGAATCAACTATGAATCTTGCCCAAAACGGACTGAATGTGAAAGCAACCCTATCTCTGTATTCTGGAAAATGGCATCCAAGATGGTAAGACCCAAGAGAGTCATAACTACTCTGAGAATGCTGAAGTCATGAGCTGCCATGATGGGGAACATTTCATTCACAATGTGGAAATCTAGAGGAAAAAAAAAAAAAAAAGTGTCTCATTGAAGTTTGTTTTCTGTATTGGATTCATAGACTAGAAATCACAGATTTCGATCATACAATCAAATTTATACATTGCAAGTTTTTCCATACCTTGAAGTCATGTTAATTGTGAATAAAAATGCTGAAGTCTTCTGTCACAGACCCATTTACAGGCAGGGCCAATAAAAGCTGGATACCTGTATAGCCAATGTCCATATTTTGTCATAGCCAATTTCTTCCTTAAAAATATTTTATATTAAATATTTATACTTTTAAAAGGTTAAAAAGTGGATTCATAACCATATCTATTTTATCATTATTAAATATGAATTTATTTGAAACTATGAAGCACTGTGCAGTGTTTGACAAGAGAAATCATTTCCCTCCTAAATAATATAAAAACAATCCAAGTTTGAAGATTTGAATGTTAAACTTGAGTTTTACATGAGCTTTAACCTTATGTATTAAAAATAGTGGGTTTAGAAATTTTTATTCCAAAGTTTCCATGTTTACATTAAAAATAATGTCAAAATAGTCATTTATAATAATAAAACTTATAACACAAATAATAGTCATCATGTCAGTCTAATCACAGAACTGAAATATATGTATATATATAATGTTGACATGTTAATGTCAAGAGCAGCCTACAAATGCCACAGAAATTTGCCAAGAGGATGAGAATCTCCCTGCACTTTGCCAAAACAAACCCCAGCAGGATGTCTGCTCCGCGTGCTGATCCTGCAGGGTTCTGATTTACGCACCCATCTGTACACACGTCAGCCCCAATCACATGAATGAGATGCTGGTGCTCAGGGTTAAGCACTTAGCCTGGCTTTGTCAAATCAGTGCTTCGCAGAATGCTCACTTGACGTATATCTGCCAGAGGAACTACCCTCTTGTGTCTCTTTAATCTTATATGTCTCAGAAGATTTCTCCTTTGATCTGATCATTAATAGAGAACTCTCCAGATGGAAAATAAGCACCTATGAATTATTCAGCTATCATTTAAAAAAAAATCACACATACAAAACAAAATTATGAGCAAACCAACATATATAAATTTTCCAAGCTCAAAGCAGTTTCTAGCAGTTTCAGTGTCCTGATTAATCCCATCAGTTCCAGAATCTGGGTGGGATAAACCACCACGCAGACTTAGGCTTGTATGGTACAGGCTTTCTAGTCCAAATATATTTAAGATCTACTAAAACTCATTAAAAAGTTACATATAATTAAACCCTCTTGTAACTTCATAACTCCCAAGAGCTGTATTTGAGCCACACTGTTAAAACATAAGAGCACTTGGAGGATTTAATAAGTGCAGTTATCTGTGTTAAGCAGTTTAAAAATTCTTTCTCTTACCAGAGGATTATATATCTGGAGTGCTCTGGGTACTCTATGCTGCAACCTTAGTAGTCTTAAAATATTTGGGCACAAGTTTTAAAGAATAAACGGACAATGATTACATGATCCAGTAATTAAAAATCAAATCAAACAAACCTTGGTGAGGAGTCTTACTAAAACCACTGGCGAGAAGAATCCCAAGCCACAAGAGAGCAGAGCGCATGACTCACAGAGGAACAAGTATGTGATGATTCACACCTCAGACCTGTGGCATCTCTGTTCTGGCTTGTTCTCACAGCGTGAGCTGAAGTAGCCTGAGGACTATTCCAAGCTACTGAGGGAGCTAACAGCCCTGTCAGATAGCTGTAGCCAGCCCCAGAAAGTTGCATCTTCCCATCAATACTGCAGACAATCGTGACAGCAGATTTGCTATACCAGTATCATGCAGTCTTAGCCTGCCAATCTGTAGCTATTTGATGAAAGTTTAGGACAGTTTTGCCACCATTTTTAGAAGCTTTTATTTTCATTAGCATCTTCAGGTAAAAATATTGGCCAGATCCTCTACTTGCATAAATCAACTCTGATGGCACTGAAGAAGCTTCAGGAATTCCCACTAGCCAAGAACCTGATGTGACACTGCTTGCAATGTTACAGTATGATGTCTCTTGTTCTATTCAGTTTGCAGAAGCAGCATGTGGTGTGGTTCAAGTGATGCTCAATGGATCAATAGAAGCTGGAGCCTTCAGAAGCAGCAGGTATTTATGCAGCAGGCCATCGTGCCTGCTGCTCCATGACTACTTGTTTGGGGCCTGTATGGTGACAGGGTCTCTGCCAAAGAGTCTCAATGAAGACAGATTTTTAACAAACCCATTTATGCATCTAAACCCTTAGCTGTTGCAGAGCTGATTCATTTAGCAGCTCCTATGCAGCAACTCCAATTTAAATTCTTTTGATGGTATATGGTACTACCTCCAATACGCTCTTCCCAATGAAGTAACTGCTATTTGAATTAGTCTAGATCTGTATGCTATGTTATACACACGAATCACACATTTCTAACTATTCACTAAGCTGCCTTCATTTTTGACTGTGCTTCCTTGAATTACCTGAGAGGAAATGCAGTCTTTGATAGTGTTGAAAAATGAGGAATGCACTCGTCAGCAAAATGGCCATGTTCATTTCCTTCACACCAAACCAAGTCAATAACCTGTAAATCAAACAAACAAAAAGACACCAAAGATGAAAAAGTCATCTTGTTTTGGTCTGCAAAAGCTCACATGAAAGCAAAATAAGAATAAGGAAAATCTTTTACCACAAGATCATTAAATATTCTAAAAAATTGAGTGGCAAGATAAGATGCTTTTTAACTGAGAATAACAGTAGCACTAAAACAAACAGTTGTACCTGGGGAAGATACTCTGTATATCTCACCTAAATAAGTTTTGCTTTTTCACATTCAATTCTTACAGCATTTTTGGAAGCATCGAGATCTCTAACTTAAATCCAGACAAAGTCTCTGCAGTACAGATTTGGCTTATGCATGACATCGGTGGACCACAAAGGTGAAGTATGCTAGCACCAAATGAGTCTCCATCCATTTGTCAATCTTCTCAACTACAACTTTTAGGCTCTTTCAGCTATTTCAGGCAAATTCAGCATAAATACCACAAGGTTATGATAGTCCTCTATGGTTCATGAAAACCTTTAGCTGGATAGAAGAAAAATAGCCAAATCAGGGCTCTTATCAATGGAAAAACAGCTGAAACAGCCCCTTACCCATAGTGGCCACAGCCTATTTCCCATGGGTATCTTCCTGCACAAAGATGTTTTGCAAGATTCACAACTAAACATCATGCACAGTTTCCACCAGTAAAGGCCTGCAGTAGCCAAATCTCCACATACATAAATTACAGCACATGAAGAAATAAGACTAGTATCCGATCTTTAAGCATCTTACCTGAAATAAAGTATGAAATTACATATTGTAGAAGTTAACTGAATTTTCCTGTACATACATGGAACACAAACAACAAAAGACTTTTTCTTCTCCAGTGAATCCTGCTCAGGACATTCCATAAAGAGGTTAAAAGGCATCTTGGAAGAGCGAAACTTCAAGTTCAACTGTGAAGAGAATCATAGGTAATTACCTGTTCTGGATTAGTGTCAGCTTGCTAGCATAAAACTAACATTGCATCTCCCTCCTACTCACATTTGGGATATGGTTTTCTGGGGGTGCTATATTGTAGTTTTCTGGACTACAGCCAACTAGGGCAAATTCCCCTCTTGCTTCCATCATATAAACGGCACTTATGTGCCTCTTTCCAGCTCTTCTCAGGAGTTTACACTTGTGCTGCAGGCCTCCTGTTGGGATGGTTTGGGATTGCTTTCTTCCCAGCATTCCCTAAGGTCAACTCCATTAACATGCTCAGTTGGCTTCAAGGAAGCAGCAATCCATCCTCCCTCAACAGGTTTTATCTGACCAGATTTTCATCTCTGGCAATCCAAGCTGAATAGGCAGCTTCTTCCCTGTTGCATGCAGGTAATGTGTCATGGCAAGGACTGACCTTACTTCCTTCACTATTGCTTGAGCTTCCTACATATCCATCTGCTTTGTCAGAGGGACAGAGAACTGACAAATGTTATTAGTTACTGTAATTCCCCATTGTCAGAAAATATGAAAAGGAGCCTGGGAAACAAAACAACCCAAGTTCCGTCCTAGTTAAGATCTCAGTCTGCTTGAGACCTCTATTCCTCAGCATGTGTTCAGAGATCTTCACACAGAGGGAACAATGTTCTTTAGTGACATTAAAAAAGAGCAAAGGTTCAGTTTTACTTATAAAGCTCAGTAATCATTTCTTATCTGTTAAGAGCCTTGTTTCAGGGTAAAGAATACATACTGTACCTGATAAAAACATTTCCAGACTAAACAAACATTTCAATAAACTGCTGAGTTTCATGACATTAGTTTTAAGTAAGGGAAAGTTGGGCTGCAAAGGAGACATTTGCCTTACAAAGCCTTATCTGGTGGTAAGGTTTTAATCTTCTTGAAGGCAGAGCAACATATCCCTGTTTAAGTATTGCTGAATCTGAGTAATGGCTACACTGTGCATTGTGAAGGAGTATTTTTGGAGAGGTGCATGGATGTGCCAAGTCATAGTGTTCAGGTTTCTCCTAGGGGAAACGCAGCAATGCTCCCAGGACATGCACCTGTAACACAGAGAAGACTAAGTTCAGACTAAGTTCGTCCTATTTCAGTCTAAGTTTTTCCTATGGCTTTGTAAGCTACTGAATAGGAAGGGGTAGAGTAGGCAGGGAAAATCCGTAGTAATTTAGATGCCACTATGGCTGAAGCCTGAGAGATGCCTGTAAAACATCGTGAGGAATGTATTCACAAATACAGCTGTCTGGATAGGTTCTACAGGCAGAATGACTAGCTGGGCTTTCTGTCGAAGTTCTATCGTTACATAAACAACTGTGTAGAGCAACAGGCACAGTTAATTATACTATTTTATGTACAGAGAAATAAGAAAACCAGTAATTTACTGGTAGAGTGAAACCCTTCAAGGGTTTCACTGACAAGTTTATTTCATTCCACCGAAGTCAGTGCCAACACGAACAGAACTATACAGGTCCATATTGGCAGAGCATGTGTTCTTTCATTCCACACGGTGATGGATGCAGATCATCACTCCTGCTTTTGTCATCCATAAGTAACAGACGTTGACTCACTGGATGGACTTCCAGCAAAAAATCTAAGCCTGAATGACATTTTTCAGCAGTAGTGTTGCACTGTAACAGTTACCAATGAACTGCATGGCAGTAACTCCATATCAATGCAAGGTATCATTTCTTTTTCATAACTACTTTGGCCTCCACAGTGCAGATGACTTGCTCTAAGTTCACATCCTCCTTTACTTTGGGGTCACTTGTTCTTCTACCCAACTCCTATAAACACTAAAGCTTTCTTTCTGCAGCATGACCTAAAAATAGTTATCCTTAGAAAGGGCAGCCACTTGATAAGCACGGGTGTAACATGTACTTTGACTTTTGCATTTAGTAACTGTGGTGTTATTATCGAGCATGCATAATGATTACTACTTGTTTTTCTGTCTTATCACAGGCCAGTTCAGCTCCTTCAGTGTGTAAATAATCCTGACCATGCAGACTGCAGACTTTGCAGCAGCAAAATGGAAACACCATGAAACTAATAAGAAATTCTTTATGTGTATGTGAAACCAAGAGAGATGTGCCTACATAGTTTAGAGTGATAAATAGCACCATGGTGTGCACGGAGTCAGTAACCAGAAATCCTTGCTGTTGATACTGACAACCAAGTAACAAATGATATTTTAGGTGTGATTACTGTGTGATTACATGCACATAAACAAACATACTATTTCAGAAAGGCCAGGAATCGGTATTTGAGGGCAGGTATTTTGTTCTGGTTTGTTCTCTTTTGCACAGCTCATATTGTGCACAGAGACTGGGAACAGGGATTCCCTGGGGCATGCATAGGGAGGAGACTTCGCAGGGAAGACAGAGCTTGCCAGGGTCAGCTTTCTGCTTCCTTCGTTGGCAAGGCTGGAAGAGAGTGACTGGAGCATGCTGCAGTCTTGCAGTTCCCAAGTGGAATATCCCCTAGCAGGGAATAATATCCAGTGGTGCATTTTGTAAGTTCACATGAGCTACTTTGATTTTTATAGGTTGGGGGGAGTGAATGAGGAAGATCTGAAGTTTCTCCCCTTCTACTCTATATGTGAATCGAGGAGATCTAAGCAAAGTGCTGGCCTTTTCTCCCAGGGGCTCCAGCAGCTTTGAGAGGCAAAGCAAACAGTGAAAAAGACAGAGCTTCTTACCTTTAAATGAGCATCACAGAAAGTGGCCAGTGGGGAAACAGTTGAACCAAGTCAAGGTTGAACCAAGGCAAACACCAGAATCTGCTCAGAGCATCTGCTAAATGCATTGAGCTGGGAAGAGAAAATACCAAGACTGACACAGACATTTGAATTAAAATCCTACGCAGTATAGTTCTGGGAACACAGCTGCAGTTCTGATTACATTTTATTCTTAATATAGTAATGTGTAAGCTTTACAGCAGTCGTAAGTGGCCCCTTAGGCCACAGCTTGGCCATCCGCTCAATCAGAGAGAAACCTCAGAAGGTTGCCAAAATAAGGAGTCTCTCTTGCCTTCAGTTTCTTAGGCAAAAAGTGATGCTTCGCAGTATATAATTCACAAGCATGGACATGTATTACAGTGAAACAGCAGGTTTCACTGTTTTTGGTTTTTATTTTACAGTTCTCATATGCATATTCAAGAACAGAATTTATAAGAATATAAAGAGCTGAGACCAGTTTCTGGCCTCAGCTTTGCCATTGACACCAGGAGAAAAGTTTTTCTCTGAATATGTATTCCTAAGGGTTGCAATGTTAGGGTAACCAGCAACTTGCCAGTTCATTAAGTATACAGAGATTTTTGTGATCCAACAGGCAAAATGTTATAGGGCTAAGTATTTTAGTGACTACCCTGCATCTGAAGGGTCCTTATGAAACTGTGCAAGCTTGTATAATTTAGAGCATCTCTAGGTAAATCTTTGCTTTGTAGTATGTGGGCCTGCACTGACCATACCTTGACACACCCAAGGCCTTGCCCATAATATTTAGATTACATGGAATGCATTTTTATTTGCATTCTCTTATGTAACTACTTAGGTTTGAAATTCAGATGCATAGCAAAACTTTTAAGTACATTATTTCTGCCTACAGGTCAAGAATTTGTCATAATACTTTTCGTACCTATTCTACCATAATACAAAACGTTGATGTAAAATCGAGATCTATAATAAAACTGGTGATACCAAATGTTGACAACTCAGTTTCACATTCTTTTTATTTCAGACTGCGTATGAAACTAAGCAACTTACTACAAAGAAGGGTGATTCTCATATGAATTAAAGCAATCAGGACTAAATGGAATCATTTGACAAGCAATTCCACAGGAAAGCCTTACTTGAATTGTGAGAAAAAGAACTAACTCAATACACGTAGAAGGATGGAACTCCATCTTTTTTTTTGTCCTTCTTACTTCTCAAAATATATATATAATTTTTTCTTCTGTTTAAAGCGACTTCAAGGCATTAGCAGGAGCCTATGGCCCTGCAATCTCCATGGGAGACGGTTTGGCTACTAAGCTTGTACTGGGGCATTTGTGCACACTACCTAAAGGTCAAACAAACTTATTTTGCCCCTGAGCTGTAAACCTCAGTACACTTAGGTATTCATAGGAGCATTCTTACTAAGCCCAGAAGTATGCATGACTTTGTCTGGGATACATGATCTTACTGGGCTATGTGTGCTACTAATTACAGAGTTTTGTTGACTATATATCTCTCCCCATCCCCACCTCTATATTGTAAAGTAGCAGTTTGAACATCTGCCCCTCACTGTCCTGCCAGAGAGGCTAGGGAGGGCTCAAGCTGTGGCAATCTCAATTGCTTTCTCAGCTTCCTCAGGTAGTTTTCCAACTGGGCTGCCCGAGGGGTGCAAGGAGTCTTACAGCATTATTTGATGGCAGAAACATGTTTTCCTTATGAGCTGCCTCCATGGATGCGACCAAAAAATCAGAGGATGAGGCCGTAGGCACAGGGTCAGCAGGCAATTCCTCTCTCACTTGGAGCTGGTCTTCTGAACTGAGTGGGAGCTTCTCCCATTCCTCCTGGTTGTCCGGTCCAAAAGCAGTTTGTCTCCTCCAGGTATGAGTGAGGAACAGAACAGGAGACTTGACAACTTGGAAGAAGGGCACAATGCTTTTCAAGGAAAGATGATTAAGAAATAATTTGGGATTGTCTCACAGTTTGATCAAATTACACTGAATGTTTCTAGCACAAATCTGTTCTATTCTCAGAAACAGAAAGAAATCTAATTTCTATGGCTATTAGCTAGATATATTACAGGAGCCAGAAATGCGCAGGAATAATAGCCCATAATTTCACTCAAAATATGCAGCTCCACGTATACACACTCAAGACAGCATGGAAAGGGCAGACTGCAGATCCTCCCAGACTCTGTTCCTGCTACCCCACTCTCCATCTTTTGCAGCCATAGTATTTTCTTTGTAGGTAGCTGGAAACAAAACACTCTGTTCATATCCTGAACACAAACATTCAGTTACATAAGTTGTTCTTAGTCATATTGGTTAAGAAAGATTACTGTTCTTATCAGCGACTACATAATAAAAAAAAACAAAAAGCAAATTTAGGTTTATGAAAGGTACTACGCACCCGTAACGCCGGTCCCTGTGCTTGAGCAAACTTTGCAACAGGTGTGGTTGGCATTAGTACTGTGCTCACAAAGATCTTTTCTTTCAAAGAATGGGAAATGAAACACTCTCATTGGGAGACTTGGCATTGAAACAAAATTAACATTAGGGAAATAACTGAACGTGTGATTGGCTTTTTTTTTTTTTTTTTTTTTTTTTTTTTGATTATTCTGCTGCCAAAAAGACACTGGAAATTTTGTGGCTGTGCAGGTGGGTACATGGGGCGGCGGTGCAGAACATTGATGGTTCATTTGCTTGTTCAGGGCTGGTGCAAAGGGAGCTCTGTCTGCCCATCTGTACTGTGGCTACCTCCAGCTCTCCACATTGCTCAGCCCCTTTATGTGGTTCCACTCACCAGGTCACTGCAGCTTCACAGAGCTTGTTGGGGCTGCAAAGTATGACAGGACACAAGGGCTACATTTATGCTAGTAGATTAAACAGGGCAAGGATAGTCAGTCAAGGACCAGACACGGACACTGTGCACTTGGGCCACACACTTCAAATGTTGGCAAAATGGCTTTTCGTCATTGCAACAAGCCAAAGCCTTGGCACAGCTTAGGTAGCAGCATTAGCTAGGGACTACTTGCTGCAGGTAGTATGGACAAAGCCAGCCTGTTCGAAAGAAGGGCAGAGAGTTTAGCTGAATGGATACAAGCAATGCTTGCCCTTAGGGATGGGCAGCCAACATGGGCTTGTTTTATTTACTAGTTCAGACAGCATAGGAGCACATGTGGGTCACAAATGCACCCTGCAGTCTGTGCTGCTGTGGTGCACATCTAATAGCGTGGGAGGGAGCTGATTTCCAACAAGCATGGGGAGACTTTTTATTATCCATGGTGACACTTCTGAAATGCCAAGCAGATATGGCCTACTAGGCAAGTTTAGTTCTAAATCCTACTATTCTGTTACATGTTTTTAAACCAAAAACATTGCCACACTAACACAAAATCCTCAACTCATGTAAACCTCAGTAAAAGGAAAACAAACAATCCTAAAACAATGCTTTTCCACTACATGGAAGAAATGTTTCATAAGAGTTTGAAATTTGTTCAGTTTTGAAAATATTCTTTCAAACTGACAAAGCAAATTTATTTTATAACCTGCTCAAGACAAATGGCTTGATTGTGCCCCTGGTCCCTAGCAAACACTGCCAAGGAGCACTGCTCAGAAACCCAAGAGGAACCTCAGTTATTGTGTGATAAGGCTGTATCAGCCCCGTGTGCTCGCAGAACCACTCAACACTATGACATGTACTTCTATGACCTTACAACCACAGTATTCCTGCTTCACCAGGCCTTAACATACTTAACATGACTATAGGCTGGTGTTCTTACCTTATTTTGAAGATAAATAAACAAATGAAGCATGGAAGGATTTGTTTTCTTCAACAGTCATCTCTTGGTCTTGTGTGTTACCATGAATCATAGTTCTTGTCTTACCTAAGCACAGCTAATGCAAGTAGTCAAGAGGCTCAATGGGATGGTATGCAAACAACCTAAATTCCACTCAAGTCCTTCATGTGTAACAGTTCCTTTTGGTCAACCTAAGATAATGATACCTCCTCACACTTCACTTTGCTGTCCTGATTCACATCACAGTCACCCTTGAGGGGTCACTAGCTTTCTCCACTGATTATGTGTTAGGCTATAGGTGAAATGAAGCTGACTGTGATTACAGGCTTTCACTTAAAATAATAACCCTTATGAATCTAGAGAAAAATGTGAAAATTGAAGGTTAAATAACCTTGCCTTCAGCATCTTTTTTTTTTAAAATTATTATTATCATTATTTGAACTCATATTTTTAAGCTATTTTCCTCTTTTTATGGAGTCCATCATCCTTAACACAGCCTCTGTGACATAAATTATGGGGAAAGGTCTTTCTCCACAGAAAATAGAGAAGCGTTTTTAATTTTATATATGTGTCCAGTGGCAGTGTACAGCACTGTGAATGAATCTGGATCCCTCTGGATGCTGCCAGGAGGGACTGGTTGCGATTGGGATTCTGGACACAGTGGGAAGGACCATTAGGCAGATGCAGAGCTTTCAGCTTGATTGATCCAGGCTCCCCTTCACATGTGGGCCTAGGACACCAAGATTCCCTGATACTTGAAACAGTGACCTCAAACATCTTACGTAAGAGAGGGAAGCAGCAGGAGTAGGAAAAAGAAACCAGACACACAGAGGAAGACACTGCCAGAAGATAAAGAAAATGGACTGTCCTTTAGAAACATTTTCTTAACTATATTGTTCACAGGCTTAAGATAGCAATGAAATAACTAAACTAATCCTTCCTATTAAATATTTTGAAAAGATAATCCATTGGTTAATCTAAGGCACACTGCACAGAAAACACAAAGTCAGGTGAGAAGATTAAAAGCAAAGCAGGATGGCTGAATGACACATGCAGAAACACAGACAGTACAACAGGATGTGCAATAGTGGAAGAAAAAGATATAGCTATAAAGTAAGATCATAACTACCACACTGGCTCTGTGCACATGTACCTGTGGTCCAATGTACAACACCTACCTGTCCTCAAAGGCAGGGGTTCACTAAGGAGCAGCTCCATGGACACTTGCTCTCTGCTAGTGGTGGTGGAAGCAGATCCCGCACAGTCGTTCAAGTGCAGTCTCACTCCATTAGGCCAGCATGGTGTTTCCCAAGACTTGTGATTTACGAGGCTGGGGATCTGACCCAGATGAATGCAGTTTTCCAGCATATCAAATGCAGGCAGTTAGAAAATCTAGAGTTGTCCCAGAGAAAAAAAGTTGCTGTTACTGATCAGCTGCTCCACAGTGGCCTCCATCTCACACATCGTGTTCTGCTGGCTTCATTTTCAACACTGATCCCACTCGTGCTTGCTTTACAGATTTTATTTTGTGCGGATCCATATTGCTTAGGTTTTTTTTGTCACAATGGTGAATCTTATGGTTTCTGTCATATTTCCTAACACTGTTAGAATTCTACAGATATGTAGAGCGATAGGGTAGCTTAAAAGACTTTTCACTTATTAAAATCAAGAATCCAGAAATGCC